CTGTATATGCATACGTATATACATACCTATATACATACACATACATATATAAATAGAAGTACTTTTGCATACATGCATGTGAGGGTAGGTGTACAACTCTGTCTGTCTATATCTATTTATCTATCTATCTATCTATCTATCTATCTATATGTATATATGTATGTATAGAATCTACAGAGACATAAATATCGAAACATATGGTAATATGAATGTATGAGTGTATGTATGTATGTATGTATGTATGTATGTATGTATGTATGTATGCATGTATCTGTATATGTATGTATTGTATATACATATACAGATATACATATAATATATATATATATGTGTATATATATATATATGTATATAGATGTGTGTGTGTGTGCGCGCATGCATCTATATGTGTGTAGACATATACATGATTTTCTGTGTGTATATACGTCTAGCGTGTAAATATATATATATATATATATATATTATCTATTTGTTTATAGATATACAAATAATTTATTCAAACTGTGTATATATATATATATATACAGTGTGTATTTACATATATATATATATATATATACGCATCTACAAAACGTGGTGACATCCATGCCGCAGCAATGAAGCTTGGCCTGTTTGCAGCAACAAATTCTCGGGCTTGACCTTGAGTCCAGCTTTGAGGCACGACATCCGGAAAAGGAAAATGCTCGCTGGTCGATATTGAGCTGTGGCCGCTTCATAGCGATAGCGCTGATGGATGCGACGGCGACGAGGAAGATGATGATGACGATGACGCTGACGGGAAAGACTTTGACGAATGTTGCTTGACTGTCATTTTCCTATCATGTTCATCATCAGCAGCGGTAACAACAACATCGTCACCACCACCTCCATCACCATGACCACTACCACCATCATCATCATCACCCGGAGCTGTCATGCCATCTACAACGCCTTCTTGGTTCGCAGATGTCTCTCGTGATGGCACTACGGAAGAAGAGCATCGGAGCTCCTGCTCCGAGGGCGGAACGTCCCGGTGAAGGATGTCAAGCCAGTGCAGGTGCCCGCATGCGAGCAGAAGGCCCTCAAGCATCGTCTTGCAGGTGGCCTGACAAGCGGGCAATTTCACGCAGACCACTCCTTAAGCTTTTCGGGCTTCGGGATGGCTACATCGGCGAGCTCTTGCAATGCGGCGGGATCGATCCACCCGAGAAAAGCGCCCGGGTAAGGCCTCTGGCTGGACCCCGGTCTTGGAGATATGAGTGAAAGCATCGCCACCGGCACAGACTCAGCATCAGACAGTGCGAAGAGATGCTCGAGAAGGAACAACGAAACATCTGCTACCAGCTTTGTTAAGATGTCCCTGAGAGCCTCACAGTCCAGAATAAGCACCCATTGACCGTTGGTGGGTTGCCGAAACACGGAGTGCAGGTTGAGGATGTTCGGATGCCTTGAGCCGGGCGCATGAAGGATTTCTCTTGACCCGCGCCTCAAGTGAAGAGTCCGCACACTTCTGAGAGTTGCCACCCCTTTGCTGTCAGCATGTAGGATAGCTCCGACCGCCTCAGGCCGAGGTTAATGCCCACCCCGTCACATCACGCCTTCAGACTCAGTTCACTGAATACTTGGAAACCGGCAGCAAGGTGGGCACTCCACCTGTGAGGGAGCCGTCCTGGGTGCAAAAACTCCAGCGGCCATGGGCAATGCAGAGACAGAGAGACGGAGGGAGGGACAGAGGGAGGGAGGGAAGGGAAGGGAAAGGGAAGGGGAGGGAAGGGGAGGGAAGGGAAAAAAGGCTTCCAGACCAACATAGTTCTGATGGTTTCTGCTGACAGCTGGAAGTATGCACCATGGGCGGAGTGATGCTTCCGACGACGTCCAACATGTCTGGCGGACCATTGAAAAAAATCTAGGCTCAGCGCATGGATTTTTCGAATATGCAACAAATATAGAAAGCCAGATAAGCCAGAAAGCATCCTAGCAGCCCTGCACCTCTTGAAAGGCAATAAAGCTGTGCCGACAAGCGCTTCTGGGGAGATCACCACTTCCTTCAAGGCAACCGGATCGATACCTCAGGCAGGCCCCTGAAGCACCAGATACCAAGGTACTATATTTGGGTTTAGGGTTTGGGGTTTGGGATGTAGGGTGTAGGGTTTAGGATTGAGGACTTAAGGTTTTTTTTCTCGGAGGACCTTTTTGGTGTCCGCCTTGCAACGTCTCCCAAACCCTTTCGGGCAGGCATTTTAGGCCACTCTTAGGCCTACCAGCACATGATCCATCCCCTGAGTTGTGGCCAGGGTTTAAGGTTTAGGATTTAGGGTTTAGAGTTCCGGGTAGCAGCGTAATCCAGGAACCTAGCCACCTTTCAGGTGACGGTTTGTCGAAGTGGTGCTCAAAGACCCCGATGAGCCCAGGGCATTTTGCAACCAGCTCTTGCTTCTCCTCGAAGAGTGTGCATAGCTGGGCATTCCGGGTTTAGGGTGAGAGGCTTAATGTTCATGGCCAAACTCAAACCTAGGGTAGAGCGCACAGACATTCTGCAAAGTCGGGGTCCTTTGGATCTCCTTTTGCGACGCGAACCTTGAGTGAGCTGGGGAGGTTCGCACCCCGGCAGGGGAGAAAGATACTAGTTTTGGGGTTTGGGCTCGAGGGATCTGGCGGAGCATAGCTGAGATCCGGGCTTTCGCGCGACGGACGACTCCAAAGCTTCCCGTCCCTGACAGCAGTTCTGGTCAAAGCTTAATGATGAGATACCAGAGCTGACACACCTATAACGCCATCTTCCACATTGTACGCATTGTCGAGATCTGTGCGCCTGGGAGAAGACTGAACAGCTGTCTAGAACACTGTGAGCAGTCAATGCTCTCTGCTGGGCTCACGCAGCTCCGGCGCCAGCCAACAGCTCAACAGTGCGTCGCATGCACTCCTGAGACAAGTCAGCAAGCGCCAGTCGTGCTGTCTTGTCTCACAGACTCACAGCTGTCGCGGGGCCTCACCCCCTTCTGCTACCAGCAGCCACCCGAACTCGTTTGGAGGTGTGGAGATGGTTCGGCCTTTATGTGCTGGAGCCTGGCTCAATCATCCAGTCACGTCCCCCCCCACGGCAAGGCGTAGCAAGCGGAGGCCCTGCCTTTGCCGCGGGAGCCGGACCCGGCGGCTTGGCCGGGACTGCCGGCTCCTGAAGCTCGCAGCTCATGTGGGCTCCGACGCTCCGAAAGCCAGGGGAGAGAGAGAGAGAGAGGAGAGGTCTCAGGGAGGGTTTAGGGCACTTCAGACTTCTGCGGCTCTCCTCCCTGCGCAGGGGCCGTAGCCCCAGCAGTGGCAAGGATCCTTCCGCCACCTTGGTGCAGACCTCCAGCCCGATGAGATCGGCCTCGTCAATAATAGTAACACTAAACCAATGAAAATGATTAAACTAGAAGACGAGTGGCCCGAAAGCATCATTAGCCATGAGTTTTGGGGCCATGAGTGTCGGCTATAGAGAGTCTATAGAGAGTCTAAAGAGAGTGTCGTAGAGTCAAGTGTGGTAAAGTCAAGTGTCGTAGAGTCAAGTGTCGTAGAGTCAAGTGTGGTAGAGTCAAGTGTG